CAGTCGGACACAATATTACGTAAAATAGACATTTCATAATTATTTGTATTCTGATTTTTTTTTAAATAAAAAAATCAAATAAGAAAATATTTGAGATTTAGAAGTTACGGGTATCAGTTGTATGTATCCCCCTCTCTTGAAAAAAGAGAATTGTGTAAGAATTTTATGATGTACATATAGAGAACTTTTTGATGTTATAATGTGAAAGTACTTGTACAAAGCGAAACTATATTCCTGTTTATCCACGAATCACGAACACGTGAAATCCTGCTCATTTCAATTTTTTTAGCAGAAAAGTTTGGTATTAACGGGCTCAAAATACTTAACATTATGGTGAATATTTAAGAACACCTTTCACAAAACTATTTTTTTTTACATCCGACTTTAAAGTAAATATTTTGGTTTACAGTTAATACGTTCTTTTAATATTAATGACGTAGAAGGATATGTTTCACAAACCGGTCCCATCTTTTTTTTATATTTATACAAAATTTTATTCACACAAAGTGAACGGGATTGGGCAGCAAATCCCGTTTTAGCCCTCTCCCTACAAGGTCAAGATGATACACACAATATATAGGTGCCCATCTTTGAACAGTTTCGCCAGCCAAGTAAAAGAAAATTAAAATAACAGATAATCCATTGTCGGTATATTTTATAAACTTGCAAAATTTAAGAAAATAAACTGATAAACTGTAAGAAATGGAAGAGAGAAAAAAGATAGAGAGAAAAAAAAAACTTTTTAAGGAAATGATTCCCCCATGTTGACCCTCTTTTTGCGTCAAAGGGAAGCAACTTGCGCAATTTATCGAATCCAGTCGCTTCGGAAAATGTACTGTAAAAAGTCTACGACTGTTTCCGTTTGAGGAAGAAATTGCCTTACACAGTACCAGTATTACTTGTTTCCTGATAATTCTTTGAAAATTGTTGTTAGAAAAATGCGTTTTGAAAGTTAATGAATCGTGACCTTTGTACATATTGTACTGGGAATGGTCTAATGTTTTTGTTTTGGTTGGTTTATTCCTATATAAATTTGACATAATCATTACACGTAAATTCATTCGACGACATGAAATATTATAGTATATCTAATATAATATTGTGAATATATTAATCTTGAGTGATGGAATACACACGGTGATAGTAAATGAAGTTCACACACTAGGCCTAGTAGTAGTACGTACTGCATCTGTACATGTATGTGCGATTTTCTGTGCCAGATACGCCTCTATTGGCTAAAATTTACACTCTGAACTACAACAAAAGATATATACTGTACTTCCTCAGTAATGCACCATGCCAATTTTGCTTTGCTATATGTCTACCAACTTAATCTTTAACTGGTGTTAGATTAAACCTCACGTCTTCTGCTGCTTGAAAAAAAAAAATGTAGATCGGACTCGGCATTCCTCTGGCCTGTGTTTACATTGATCCATGGTAACAATAAAGAAGTTAAGGCTCTACGAAGGGAAATACATTTAAAATTTGCTTATTTTCTTAGTACATATTTAAAATGATCTGATTTTTAAAGACAAAATCTTTGAACTGTAGTTGACGATGTCTAAAAAATTCCTTAACGTGAAAACCATGTGTAGTAAAAATACCGGGAAATCTTTCTTAACTTAATTCGTTTATTTCTCATTATGACGTTGCATAAGATAAGGTCGATTTCTATCCGACGAGGCTCAAATATTGATAATATATAAATTAGATATACCTTTCGTATTTGAAAGGATTATGATATAGTATGCATTTAAAGAAAAAGTACAATGATTATCATTCCTTTTAGCATGTTTCATGGTGATAAAGCTTTATCAAGGTTAGAATAAATCTAAATATTTTTTTTAGTGAGATGTAGTTAACACAGCTCTCTTTTTCATTGAATTCATATATGGGATCCTCGGGATAAAGGTATTAATTTTAATTTCTAATTTGGTTGTTAATACAAAAGTTGCTTCCCCCTTATTTTATGGCTTTGCATTAATGTCTAAAACAATTTTTATCTTAATACTTGAATTTCTTGTATAATATCAAATCTTTTTATACCCCCCGCTTGAAAAGCGGGAGGGTATATAGTAATCGGTATTTCCGTCCGTCCGTCCGTCCGTCTGTCTGTACGTCCGACCGTCTGTCTGTCCGTCCGTCTGTTACGCTTTGGGGTACCCATCTCTTATCCGCAACTCCTCTCATACCACTGAGGGAAATTTAATGAAATTTTCAGAGAATCTTTATTACATATTGCCATTGTACACCTCCTATTTTATATTTTGATCCGACATATATTTCGGATTTTACAGAGCAAAACATGGACACTGCCATTTCATTCATATGGGAGGCGGGGGGTATCATTTAGTGAGCTCATTGCTCACAGTACCTCTAGTTTAAATGGGTATAAGTGTTTTTCAAGCAGTCAAAAATAAATCTATAAATAATTGATAAGAAAAACAACTTTCACTTCTATGTATTTTAAAATTCTATTAAAATCACCAACACAAGTTAGGTTTGACACCTGGGTATTTCACTGTGTATTAAATACTTCCTGTGTATAGGGATTATGAGACAGATGCTAGCCCCCAAGGCTTTCACACCTGTACAAAATAAGCCCCTATCTCAACTGGAATTAACCACCCGGTAAATAATCTCTGCCTTTAAACAAAAAACAATAAAGTTTTAAAAAATTCCGTTTCGTTGAAAAATCGTCCAGATACTAAAGCATGCATATATATTGGGTCCATATATCTGAAGGTCCACTGTGTATCCTTGGTAATGAAAAGTATTATTTGAATGACAAATTCTTTATGACTATATCCTGCCTCTTGGACTTGGATGCTTTATAAACAATTCGATATATGTATGATACTGGTACTCTTATCAATGGATGCACTTTATTTTTTAATCGTTTAAAGGTTTTTTTTTTTATTTTTCAAAGAGAAACAAAGTTTGCTATAACGTATCAATAAAATTTATTCGGGTGTTGTTTGTCAGGACTTATGACTTAATGAAATATTGAATAATAAATTCAAAAATTTCAGATTGCGAAGTGATCATCTAGAAATCAAAAAAATGGCCTCTGGACCAGACCCTGGCGGCCGTTCCAGGTTTGCTAAACTCGGAATGTCAATAAACGAAGAACTGACCCAGGCCTGTAGAGATGTCTTAGAAATGGAGGTACCTCCTGGTCTTGTCCAGAACAAAGTGAAAGCATCATCAATTTATACGAAAATACGCCCTGAACAAGAACTTTGTCTTATAGGCGCCAAAACAAATGGTTATAAAGAATTTGATATTACATTGTTATATACTCTGCTACGAAACGTATGTACAAAGATTCCACGTCCAACAAAAGGTTGGGGTGGGAACACGATGCCGTCAGTAGGAGAAACAACGATAGGTGATGATATTGAAAGGATTAGGATGATAAGAAACACTATGTTTGGACACATAAGCTCGGCTTCTACCTCACAGAGAGAGTTTGATGACACGTGGTCAATCATAAACTGATATCTGCCAAAGACTGCAAACGTACACAAAGAAAGACTACGTGGCTGGACTGAATAATATTCAAAGTCAGGCCCTAGAAGAGGAGTACGAAACAACAGTCATAGAAAAACTCAGGGAATATTATAAGAATAACCAGTCTTTAATGGTGAAGCTATCTTCTGTGGAAAGGGTTTGCAAGAATTGAAAAGAAAATCTGAAGACAAAGGTGACTATAACAAACATTCACAGCGATGCATTCATTAAAAGTGGTGGATGTTAACTTTTCCCTGACCACCCATTTATCTGTTTCTCTTGTTGTATATTTTTAAATTAACTAGAGTAAAAAAAGCAAATTTATCATGTTTGTAAGTTAACTATTATTTTCCCAAAGTGAATTCAAATTTCAGCATAATAGGCCGATTAACTGCATTTCTGTCCATGTAAAACACTTACATTACCGTAAGTTATCTAAAAAAACTTACCTCCAATGGAATTTTATATTATTTTGTTTGCATTATATAATAATCCCATACTCCTTTTTTTGTACTTTATGGCATGAGAATCCTTTCCATTCATACTTTCTATTTCTACAATAATTCAGATTCAGATGAATTTAAACGAACAATTATAGTGGACAATTATACAGTTTTACCACAAAATACAATTTGATATTATTATCTTATTTTCTGTTTTATACTTATTATCTTAAAAACATATCTGTTTCAGAAAACACACTGGTAAAAGAAATTCTCGACAACTGGCAAGAAGACGATATTGCCTTCATTCCTACAAGAGCATGTGAAGTTGTTGAAGAAAAGTTTAAAAGTCTGAACCTTATCACAGTGGTTGGAAATTCTGGTTCTGGAAAATCTGCAATAATTCAACATATCGCACTCAAGTATAAAGAGCAGGGATGGAATGTCATACCGGTGGAAAAGGTGAAAGAAATTAAAAAGAACTGTTCAACCAGAGTCTCAGAAAATCGGATTTTATTTGTATTTAATGATCCTTTAGGTAAGGAATCGTTAGATGAGATTTTATATCATTCATGGAGGAGTTTAGAGAAAACACTGGAAATTTGCTTGAAGAAAAAGAAATTATTGATATCATGTAGAAGATGCGTCTTTTATGACAAGAGAGTCAAAGGTAACGTATTGGATGAATCCACTGCAGTAGAAATTGACAGCGAAAAAAATGGACTGACTGTTAAAGAGAAAAAAGCGATTTTAAATCAGTATGCACAGAATCTGAAATTATCCGAGGAGGTTGTTACTGAAATAGTTAAAACAGAAGCTTACTTTCCATTGCTTTGTAAGCTTTTTTCGAGGGAGGCAAAGTACAAAGAAAAGGGGGTTGATTTCTTTAAAAATCCGTACAGATTTATTAAAAAAGAAATAGAGATTTGGAAAAAAACAGACAAGAAAAGATTTTGCTCCCTTATCTTGATAGTAGCTTTCAAAAACAATTTGAAAATCGAGATAAGTGATATTTCTTTAATGACATTTAAGGACATTTTAGGAATGTGTGAGTTACAAGAAAACACACATATATCAGTCATTCGTAGTGCTCTACACGAACTGAAAGGATCTTATGTCAAACGTGTCGGACATGTTTTCCAATTCCTTCACGACTTTATTATGGAGATAACAACTCTGGTGTTTGGTGTTGATTGTCCACAAGAGACAATACAGTACGCGGACAGTAGCTTTCTGAGACGTCGAGTAAAGATAGAAGACGATACAGAAGAGGAAGATCGCGATCCTTTCACTGTTTACCTTCCTGTAGAGTACATTGATGATCTTGTCGACAGGTTTATTACTGACATACAAACAAAACATATTATAGATGTTCTACTCAATCCGTGTTTAAGGAAAGAGAGTTTGATTAATTCTTTTAAGGAAAAATTGAATTCGCTCGAAAAACTTCTTGTAAAAATTAAATGTGAAAAAGACAGATCGAAATTTCAAACATTATTTGAAAGATCGTTTTTCACACGACTTGATTTCCTTTATTCATTTGAAAGTGAAATATGTCCTTTAGTCGGACTTATTGTATTCTGTCATTCTGACATTTCTTCATTTTACATAAAAAGTATCCCTGAAACAAAGTTGAAAGAACATCACATTTTCTCTGCTATATGTGCTAATGGCGATTTAAACCTACTAAATTCTCTCAGCGAAGAATATAAAAAAGCAGCAATGATGGAAAGATGGGATGACTTGTTTCCAATTCATATAGCTTCGGTTTTTCATAATTTTTCAATAATAGAGGAATTAATAAGACTTGGTGCTGACGTAAACACGTTAACAACTAGTGATATATGTACTCCGTTATTCCTTGCTGCTGCAAATGACGAAGATCATATTAAAGAGGCCGGAATCGATATAAAAACTGGAGAAAGACGTAATAATAGAATTATTTGCTTATTGAACAACGGCGATAAAGCCTATTTATGTGATAATGAGAATGTAGACAGAACTCTTTGCATGGCTTGTTATAGAGGACGTGATATCACGGTACAACTGCTACTGGACAACGGCGCCGACATCAAGTTATGTGATAATGATGGATGCAGTCCTCTTTGTATAGCTTGTCTCAAAGGACATGATAGTACGGTTCAATTGTTACTGGACAACAGTGCCGATATCAACTTATGTGATGATGATGGAATCAGTCCTCTTTATATAGCTTGTCTCAATGGACATGATAGCACGGTACAGCTGTTACTGAACAACGGTGCCGATATCAATTTATGCAAAAAGAACGGGACCAGTCCTCTTATAAGAGCTTGTCAAAATGGACATGATAGCACGGTACAACTGTTACTGAACAACGGTGCCGACATCAATATATGTATAAATGATGGCGCCAGTCCTCTTTATATAGCTTGTTATGATGGACATGATAGCACGGTACAACTGTTACTGAACAACGGTGCCGATATCAATTTATGTATAACTGATGGAGCCAGTCCTCTTTATATAGCTTGTGGAAAAGGACATGATAGCACGGTACAATTGTTACTGAACAACGGTACCGACATCAATTTATGTCAGAAAAATGGAGCCAGTCCTCTTCATGTAGCTTGTGAAAATGGACATGTTAGCACGGTACAACTGTTACTGAACAACGGTGCCGACATCAATTTAGGTAAGAGTGATGGAGCCAGTCCTCTTTATATAGCCTGTCAAAATGGACATGATAGCACGTTACAACTGTTACTGAACAACGGTGCCGACATCAATTTATGTAACAAGAATGGATTCAGTCCTCTACATAGAGCTTGTCTCAAAGGACATGATAGCACGGTACAACTGTTACTGAACAACGGTGCCGACATTAATTCAGGTGAGAGTGATGGAGCCAGTCCTCTTCATATAGCTTGTTATGATGGACATGATAGCACGGTACAACTGTTACTAAACAATGGTGCCGACATCAATTTATGTAACAAGAATGGATTCAGTCCTCTACATAGAGCTTGTCTCAAAGGACATGATAGCACGGTACAACTGTTACTGAACAACGGTGCCGACATCAATTTATGTAACAAGAATGGAGTCAGTCCTCTTTATATAGCTTGTCTCAAAGGACATGATAGCTCGGTACAACTGTTACTGAACAATGGTGCCGAAATCAATTTATGTGATAGTGATGGAGACAGTCCTCTTGATATAGCTTGTCATCAAGGACATAATAGCACGGTACAACTGTTACTGAATTACGGTGCCGATATCAATTTATGCAAAAAGAACGGGACCAGTCCTCTTTATATAGCTTGTCAAAATGGACATGATAGCATAACACAATTGTTACTGAACAACGGTGCCGACATTAATTTATGTGATGGTGATGGAGCCAGTCCTCTTTATATAGCTTTTCTCAATGGGCATGATAGCACGGTACAAGTGTTACTGAACAACAATGCCGACATCAATTTATGTGAGAAGAATGGAGCCAGTCCTCTTTATATAGCCTGTCAAAATGGACATAATAGCACGATACAAATGTTACTGAACAACGGTGCCGACATCAATTTATTTAAGAGTGATGGAGCCAGTCCTCTTTATATAGCCTGTCAAAATGGACATAATAGCATGTCCTCTTTATATAGCTTGTTATGATGGACATGATTACAACTGTTTTACTGAACAATGGTGCCAACATTAATTTATGTAAAAAGAATGGAGCATCATATAGCTTGTCAAAATGGACATGATAGCACAGTGCGACTGTTACATGATATCAATTTAGGTAAGAGTGATGGAGCCAGTTATATAGCTTGTTTTGATAGGACATGATACACAACAACGGTACATCAATTTATACTGAACAATGGTGCCGTCATCAATTTATGTAAGAAGAATGGAGCCAGTCCTCTTTATATAGCTTGTCAAAATGGACATGATAGCACGGTACAACTGTTACTGAACAACGGTGCCGACATCAATTTATGTAATACGAATGGGGCCAGTCCTCTTTATATAGCTTGTCAAAATGGACATGACAGCACGGTACAACTGTTACTGAACAACCGTGCTCAATTTATGTGATAGCTCTTTATATAGTTGTCAAAATGGACATGATAACACTGTACAACTGTTATGTGAGAAGAATGGAACTATAGCTTGTCAAAATGGACATTATAGCAACAACTGTTACTGAACAGCGGCGCCGACATCAATTTATGTGAGAAGAATGCTTGTCAAAATGGACATGACAGCACGGTACACCTGTTACTGAACAACGGTGCCGACATCAATTTATGTGAGAAGAATGGAGGCAGTCCTCTTTACATCAATTTATGTGATAATGATGGATTCAGTCCTCTTTATATAACATGTGAAAATGGACATGATAGCATTGTACAACTGTTACTGAACAACGGTGCCAACATCAATTCATGTGATGAAGATGAATTTAGTCCTCTTTATATTGCTTGTCAAAATAAACTTGATAGAACGGTACAACTGTTGCTGAACAACGGTGCCGACATCAACTTATATTCCAAATCGGATCTTGATCTCTCTTGATAGCTTACATGCTGACATTAATTTATGTGATAAAGGTCGAAGCAGTAGTCTTTGGAGAGCTTTTGAAAACTCACATTGCTGGACCATCGAAGTTCTTTTAAATTCAGGTTCTGTTGTAAATTTTTGCAATAAAAGAAACTGTAGTCTACTGTACATAGCATGTTCAAATGGTCAGCATAATTAAACTTTTAAACGAAGGAACTAGTCCACTCTACATAGCCTGCGAAAATGGATATTACAGCACGGTCCAATTATTATTGATAAATGATACTTGATTTAATTTATGTAATAAAGACAATAAGAGTCCATTGTACACATCATACTTATATGGTCATGACAGTATCACTGAACTTTTACTACAGTATGGTGCTCAGTTTTTGTTCTGACGATGGATGCAGTGGTTTTTCAATACCAAGTGCGTTCACATTAGTTCTGAGATATGGAACAAACGTTGATTTGGACTTTTATCATAGCTTGCAAAAGAAATTAAGCGTGATGCTTTCACAAGGAATTTACCGCATTTATTCAAATGATTTCACGTGGGAAAAAGAAAACACTTGCAGTGGCCTTCAGTTCGGTATTCCATCGTATCAAAGACGTATTATCAACTACCAATAGATACTTTTATTCACACATTGTCTGTATGTCGACTCGCCATATCCTAGTGAACTTAAGATAGAAGCCCCCAAAGAATCTTCCAATTCTCTTCATATCGGGATTAATCTTGAAACTCTGTTTTTGGCATTTTTAGCAAATATAAAATTTCATTAGAGCTTATTTTGCCAGACATGTTTTGTACCAAGTGTTTTTGTACTTAATTTGACAAAGGAACGTTCCCTCTGTATACCGGATCACTACATAGTTTTCAGGTCAATTGTGGTTGATTAAAAGGGGATGTTTACTTCTCTGTGGTATCTGGTTCTATCCCTGGAGTTCCTGGTGGTCAGTGTTTTATTTCTGTTCACAGATTGGTAGCGTTTTTAAATCATTGTGAACATTGAGCATTTTAAAATTATTGTTAAATTTAAGTGATTACTGTAAATCGACATTTTGTCTGTGACAATGTATTTATTACGAGATGGGTGTTTTGAATTTAAAAGCGGAAAAATAAATAAAATATGCAAAAATTAATTTTTTGCAGGTAGACACACAATAAGGTTTTCTCGAATAAAAAGTATTAACAGTATTGAATTTATTAAGCTTACTTACACTTTCATGTCATAAGGCTTTCTTTTTTTCATATTGTACATTTACTAATCAAAGGTGTATGTTATAAAAATTCCAATTTAATAAAACTTCTTGTTTTTAGATAGCAAAGTCTTGCTGCTACATAAATTCTTTTTATTACGGCCAGGAAGGAGGCATGACGTCTGTTATTTAGTATTAATATATGTAATTACTCGGTATTTCTGCAATATTTAAAATTAATATTTTCTGTAAGATGGGGAATAATAATTTATTTGAATGTGATTAAGGGCTTTATTTACACGTATCTTAATTCGATACGGGCAACACTTGAGTTCGAACCGTAATGTTAACAACGAACAATAATATGCTCTGGATTAATCAGAATTCGTTTGGACCAAGATTTGTATAAAGATTATATGTTCATGGGGAATAAATTTCAAGTATTCCTTATTATGTACACATCTTGACGAACATGTGTCTTTTCAAGCCATGTATATCAATTCGTTGATGAAGATACGCAAAAATTCTATCGCAGCTAGGATAAGGCTGCCCGTAAAATATTAAACCGTGCAAACTGTACTAACTTCTCTGAACTACCTAGATATGACGTCATAATAGAATATGACGTCATGTCTCTGCATACTTGAGATGACATGACGGGGAAAGTGTCATCGTTTTTACATGGCATGTAGATTTATTTTGTGGACTTCTTGTTTAATTCAAGTATAAGGATTGTTTGTTTAGCTCGAGTTTGCTATTATGATGTTGAACATTTGAAATTTAAATGTTCTTATTTTTTTATTTTTGTCCGATATGCACATATTCAAACAATAGCAAAACATTATGTGTGAAACGCTCCCCTTTCGTATCCGTAGACAGAGTTAGAATTTATTAATCGTGTTTATATTGGACTGGCACAAGTGATAAACAAGGATAAAATGAAGATATTCTTTGTGAATCTACAAGAGAAGTATGTCCTCTAACTGAATTTTGCTGGGGGATTGTGTGTAGGATATCCATTTTTGTATAAATCGCGATAAAGAGTGGAAAATACCCCTTTTTCTGTTGGTAAGTTGAATTTCTCATAAAATATTTTCTTAACGAGTAAAAATTAAACCTGCCCCCAGCACTTTCTATGTACTAGAGATCACGTTGAATTGATCTATGTTACATACTTTGCGCAATATTTTTGTTTTGCACTTGTGCTGAAACGATTTTTGTGCAACAATGAGGAATATCATAAATCTCCGTCACGTGATCAACACAGTCATGTGACATCACAAAAATGTTTTAAAATAATACCTGATTAAACTTTTATCTCAAATCGACTTCAATTTCAAACAAGGATTACATATCAAAATTAAAATCTAACTCAAAATAAAATGTATATTTTTAAGGCATTTTAAGCCTTCGGACAGCCTTATCCTAGCTGCGATGAAGTAAAAAATCACATCACCAAATCATTTTTTTATAATTTCATATGTTAAATTTGTTTAGATCAGTGTTTTTTTTTTCTTCCTTTTCTGAACTTCAAAATGTGTGTATTAATTTAATTTTGTTTGTTTTATTTGCTTTATAAAGCTTTGTTTTATATTATGTATTGTTTATTGTTTGTAATTCAGGATAATGTATTCCCTTTTGTTAAGAAAGGAAGAAGGAATGTTGAAAAAATATCTGTTGTGCAATTTTTTTTTGATTGAGTTAACATAAAAATCATACATCTAAATTGGTAGCACGAGTTACAATTGAATTTCAAATTTAAGATTATGTAATAATATGGCATAAATAATTGTGAAATATGCAAGTTTTGTTTGCGTTTGATATAGAACATGTGAATATATTTTTAAGGTAATACTTTATACAGTTTTATATTTTGTGTTTATGTGTCAGAAAATATAATCTCATGAAATGAAATGACTGACTTTTTTTCTTACTGATTGCTGAACCATCATTTATACACTGCATTGTCCACGGATTTCGTTCGTTTTTGGGAGCTGAACTATGTTCAATCTCCAATGGTCATCACGTATTTAACATGCGCAGTAAATTGTGTTGATCACATAGAGACGAAAGCGACGCTACTGTGTCGGCTGATTTACTCCGATGATATTCAACAGAAAACATGAATGAACATCCGCGACTAATAGTTCATGTCATTTTCTCCTGAATTAATCTAATTTCCATAATGTAAGTAAATGTAATGATAAAGTAATCTTATTTTGATTATTAGAATTCGTTCAAAGTACATACGAGGGTCATTCAAAAAATACGTAGACAATGTCCTCCATCATCATATTATTCTAACAAAATTTTAGATCAACACATTTTTATATGTAAAAACATTTATTTTGTCAGCGTGTAAAGTTTCATTCCATTTGATTTAATGGATCTCCTGTTAGACAATTTTAAAAGTAGCATGTTTTGTCACCACGGAGCACGGTCAACAACACTGTGACGTCAAAAACAACGTGGAGAAATTTTTATAAAACTACGTTGCCTTTTCATTTCATCCACGGTTTGTTGCTTCTTCTGAATTCTTGAATCTATATCCCTTTACACCTAGTTCGCTAACAATTGTTTGAGTACCTTAAGTTAAATTATTAATGTTTTCAAATTCTTTATAGCATAACTCTTGTTTGCATGCACAAGTTCCGCAAAAGTGAAGCGCACATGACATTTTATGACGTTACTAACTCTTTGACAAGATTTTTTAACTATAGTTTGTTTTATTGCAAACCGTTCATGGTCCGATTCCAAGTCTCTAACACTCAAAAAAAAATAGTCATTCCAACTATAAGCAAAGCATAACACATTTTGTATC